CCAGGACCCCTCCTTATCTGACCCTCATCCCCCACCACCAACCTGTGTGCGCCTTGCTCCACTGGCCCCACAGCCTGAAGCCTCCCAAGTGCTCACCACTCAAGCCGCAGGCACTGAGCAGGCCCACAAGAATGTCGCTGTGAGAGAGAGTTGCAAACAGGTCAGAGCCTAGCTGGGAAACCGAGGCTTGGAGTGGCATTATCCACATGACCTGAATTTAGAAACAATATCCCTCCTCTCGACCCATCTCACGGTATGAATGGAGACCACCGCCTCACACCTGGATGCCCATGTGAGCCTACAGCCAGGACAAGGCCTTTCACGGGGCATGGGGTCAGGAACAAGCAATCATGGATGAAAGCAAAGACCTTCCTGGACCAGGAGAAAGTAGCAGAGAAGACAGGCCTGAGTGGTTCTGGAAGCCACTGGACTCTCACCCAGCTCTTTGGGAAAACCATGGAGCGCGCAGCTCACCGCTCACATCTCCGGAAAGGTGGGGAAGCACGACGGAGTGGGGAAACCATTCACTACACCCGATCTTTTACAGCTGGGTCTCGGAGGACTTTGTCCCTGCATCCTCTCTGCAACTCTGCTCCCTTCCTGACACACTGACACTGCCTAGCTTGTGTGTGTGTCTTCCAATCAACTGTTGCTTTCATTATCATCTGGAAGAGCGTCCCTGAGTAAAACAAAGAGGTTATCAGTGTTCTCTGGTTCCAGGGAGCCTCCACCAACCAGTCTGTTCCAGATCAGCTCCAGACCTCAGGAGTCCCAGGGCCTGCTGGGAGGCAGCTTCCTCTGTTTAGTCAGACGCTGGGTCCAGCTGCAAGGACACATCTGTGCTGCACTGGTAGACCAGCCAGGCTCACGACAATCATCTCTCTTGTGCAAACAGACCAGAAGATAGGGGTAAAGCCTCAGAGGCGCCCCAAAGGAGCTTATGGACAGTCATTGCCATCTGCCCATTTTTGCTCCTCAGCTGAAAAACTAGACTTCCCCAAATCTACTCAGAATCCCAACTGAGAGAGCCATTCCCACCCTTGGTGGCCAAACCTCCACTACAGCTCAGGACCCTGGAGCAGATTCCCCTTTGTTTGGGCTAATTTAGTAAGCCTCGACCTTCTAATTCTTTGCAACAGCCATGTAAAGCCAACCCTGTGGTTTTTGCTCCCGGTAGCTCACAGAGCATGGTGTGGGGGCCACCCCCACCAACAGCAAACCCATATGGGATCCCTGCTCCGGAACTGCTGGGGTCACTCAACCCAGACATGGGTCCCATTCCTTAACATCCCTCTGTCTGTTTTGTTTTCTTCCGAAGTCTGGGCGTAGGGTAGAAATGAAAGAAAGCTCTTAAAAACAGATGTATCATGTGTCTGGTTGACAATTGTTTCTGAAAATCAAGGGACTGACGTGACCCTACTCCCACTGGAACTGAGCAGGAACGGGGACAGACAGAAGACGGTGGCCTCCTCCTCAGTGTGCTTCTTACTGATAAGCCAGTTGGAAGCTACGGCACCTAAGCTCTCTCTCAGTAGCAAAAAGGCCACCAGTTGCCGATAACCTCACAGAAACTGTGCCTGTCACAGCCACCTTCCTCATGAAACATCAGACCGCTAGGTCTTCTTAAAGACAGGACCTGCGTGACTCACCTCCCAGGCCCCATGCAGCCCCTATAGTGTTTCTGAGACAAAAAGTCACCTCTCCTGCACAGCTTCTCCCTGCTGTTGCTTCATCCCAGCGTGCTTGGGTGTGGAGACATTCAGGCAGGAAAAACGCTGCAAGGGGATGGGTGTCCACAGGATTGAGGAGGCAGAGGAGCTGCAAGGGGATGGGGTGTCCACAGAACTGGGGAGGCAGAGGAGCTGCAAGGGGATGGGGTGTCCACAGAGTTGGGGAGGCAGAGGAGCTACAAGGAGATGGGGTGTCCGTGGGATTGAGGAGGCAGAGGAGCTATAAGGAGATGGGGTATCCGTGGGATTGAGGAGGCAGAGGAGCTACAAGGAGATGGGGTGTCCGTGGGATTGGGGAGGCAGAGGAGCTGTTTGGTGCTGTGCCACTCACAGTGAGCTATCTGGGCACCTCTGGAAACTTGTCAGAAATGGAGATTCTGGGGTTCACCATGTCAACCTGCAGGTCACATTCCCTGAGTGATTCAAACAGGAGACAGGAAAGCCTAAGAAACATGGAGTCCATAGAACTCCACGGGTGCTTAGAGCTGAGGAAAAGCCTTCTGGTCATTTCCTCCATCTTCCCACACAGCCGCTGTGAGGAATCAAGGCATCAAGCTGTCCGTTCTTGTGCAGTTAGTTCTGGTGACAGCCCTGGGATGGGTGCCCTTTTTATCCCCACTTTACAGATGTGGACATTAGACTTAAGGAAGCTAAGTGCCTTACCCAACATCAAAAACTAAAGGAGCAAGGATCTCTTCCCAGATTCCTCGACCCCTGTGATAGCTGAGTTGACATCTTGGCCTACTCCAGAATCACCCAGAAAGACAGTCTTTGTGATTGTCTAGATCAGGTTGACTTGTGGCCAAGGGTACTAGGAGTTATCTTGATGGCGCTCACGGATGTGGGAAGCTTGCCCACTGTGGGTGGCTTGCATGCATGTGTGCATGCGTTTCTCACTCTCTTCTCTGTGGCTATAATGTGACCAGCTGTTCTAAGTCTCTGCCGACTTCGTACCCCGCCATGCTGGGCTATAATCTGGAACTGTCAGTTAAAGAACCCTTTCCCCCTCCACTTTGTCAGAATAGTTATTTTATCATACAAAACTAAGACAACCTGTTATGATTTACAGCGTGAGCAGGTCCCTTGATGGGTGAGGAGCACACGAGAGAGACCTTTGCGGAGGGAGAGAAATAGTTTATTGAGAGGAGAGTAGAAGGGAAGGAAGTGAGGGAGAAGAAGGGAGAGAAGCAAAGGCCTGCTTGCCTCTTTGGAAGAGCAGCAGGAAAGAGATCCGGAGTGGGAGGAGCTTGTCTCTTAAAGGGACCTTTCACCTGCATAGGTCTAGGACCCAGGGCCGGCCAGGATACTGCCTGGGTACACCCTGCCAGATGACAGGGCCCAGCTTAATGCCTGAATACTAACACAATGTCCAAACTCATCTACTTAGGACAAGAATTACAGCACCTAAGTTGGGTGTGTTAGTGCTCTCCTGGGTACCAGCACTCAAAAGGCAGGAGGACCATGTGTTCCGGCCAACTTGTGCGACACAGTAAGACTCAAGGGGGGGGGGGAGAGGGAAGAAGGGTAAGTGTTACAGCTCTGAAGGGAATAACATCCTAGCAGCTGGGAGCCACAGAATACCACAAAGTCACACCACACAACAAACCTCACACAAGAGCTTTATTGGTAAAGACACAAGAGGATGGCAAGAAGCAGCAGGGAGCGGAGCAGGAGGCAGGCTTTATATAGGGTTTGGGGGGGGGGGCGCAGAGCTTTCCACGAGGTTTCCAGGGTGGGGATTGGTGAGATTCCAGGCTAACCCAGGGATTGGTGGAATTTTGAGCTCAGAGATTGGTGGGCTTGGGTAGGTTTTTTCAAATTTGGAAGTGGGCTTAGATCTTCTACCCTATAGGAAAGGAGAAAGGAAGGAAAGGAGGGAGGGAGGGAGGGAGGGAGG